TTAACTTCAGCCTGCCCTGGGCAATGTTAGCCCTTTGATTTACTCACCCCTATGAGTGTTAACTTCTCCATTTCCACTCCTACGTCGCGTTTTAAGTTACCATTTTGCTTATCATTCTCTGTGCAGTAAACGATGACGTTGCTGTTCTGCATAGGTTTTGAAATCAGTTTAGTCTAAATCTCAGTACATTTCCCATTAGTTATCTACGTTATGCCGCGACAGGTTACAGTTAATAAGCCGTTGCAAAATTTGTTGGTTACAATGAAGTCTGCTGTGCATGCCTGTTTTAAAATCCTTCGCCTCGCTTAAACAACACAGTCAGTCTCGTGGTCTAGTTCAACATGTAAGGCTTTCGATATTTGTTTTTTACTTGTTCCACCGTCCGTCATCAGATTTTTTGATACACCCTCATTGTTTAAAGCAAGTAGGGAGTTCAAAAATGCAGTCCTAAATTTCCATCAAATAGACTAAATTTGGCTGGAATGAACGCAGATGGAAATCGCATGAAAATATCGTAGAAAAAACGCAGGAAAGCAATAGTGAATGACCGCGGGGGATGTTTGCGCACCGCCTAGGCTGCCGAACGCGTTCGCCCTGCTGCGTTTTGGAGCCATACAAGCAACTCCATAGAGTCTAGTAATGCATACAAGATGGAGTATCGACAAAATAAAGGAGACAGGGATAACCATTTTTGACTTACTAGTCTTCAACAACCAGCCAAACCCAGTTCCCCGTTTGGATGACCTAGGATTCGAAAATAGATTACTTGGTCGTTGAAGTTTTTCAAGCTCACAGCTCCACCATTAACTTACGAGACCGCTGCATCATCGGTTGAGTGAGGGGAGACTTGACTATGGAAACATATTGGGAGAATTAGAAGTAGCCCCAAGTGTCTGCATCGGCAAACCAGTATTACCAAAAATATGTGTGAAATTAATCCACTCCCGCGGAAAGAAGTTTTTCTAAAACACATTCCATCAACTATGCAGTTCAGCTGGGTTTACTAATTGGACGATATGCGTGAGGCTCAGTGTAGTTCAATTTATCTCAGGAAAATTCAGGTGTACACCTAGGAACTGCCTATTAGGTGCAGAGGAACGCCAAAAGTGGGAGAAAGAATATAAAACGCGGAAAAACAGCCAGTTATAGGTACTTGTGGCATCGACAAACGTGCACATTCGCTAGTGTGTAGAACGATGATAATAATAAATTTTTTTAAAAGACCCCAGGAGTTCCGTTATTGCAAATAAAAATAGATTTTCATATGAATTTTGAAACAGATGACAGGATCTCCAGAGTATTCAGTTTATGCTTTTGAATAGGCAGTTTAGTCAGAAAAATGATTAGCAAGCAGTGAAAAACTCCTTTACTTAATAAACAAAGTGAATGTGATTGATTAACTTTAAAGGATAAAAAAAACTGTCGCTCATAAAGGGGTACGTATGCGGGTCAGACAGGACTGGCCTGCATGCGGTAGTGTGCAGGGGATTAAACAGGACATCTTCAAGGCAGAATTCATACTCTGGAGGAGGCTATTCACGTCAAAGTGGCAAGACGAAAGGAACCCAGGCGCAATCGGTCGCAGTCCGCTTCGAGTCCAGCCGAGAAGGGGCAAGGGAGGTACGACCATGGGATCCCTTTGTAGACCGATCAAACTAGTAGTAGATGACGAATACAGAGGATTCCGCCATGAGAGTCGACAGACCGCTCGGGGTCGAAATGAAATGTCATTAAGAATCAAGAAAATCATCGCTGCGGGCGAGCAGTAGGAACAGTGTATTGACTAGTCAATTAAAAACCGGAGGTCGTAAAAATACAAGCGAGGGTTTCCACTTGATCTACCATTAAATCCCAGGGTACCCTTCTCAAAGTCAAGAAGTTGAGTGCTCGAGAATGAAGCGACCAATAGTGACTTTGTACCTTTCGGTGAAAAGTGCATACGCAATTTCGATGTGAATTTCGATAACTTAGGCGGTGACCTAATTTCTGATGGAAGATTATTCCAAACGAAGGCAAATTGGGATGCAGAAAGAGGGAGCGTTTGGATGTAGTGCGATGAGGCGGCGCAATCACCATGGAGGTGTTACAAGTGACATAAGACCGATGTCGCGAAGCGAGAGTATCAGTGAGCGGAAGACTGGAGTTAGAACCAATGCGAAAAAGGAAGTAAAGGCTAACTTCGAGTCTTCTAATCAATAAAAACTTAATGTCCGGCAGCTGACATCTCTGAATATAAGAAATCCTAGATGCAGCTTGAGAGAAGAGATTCCGAGTGAAAACCCTCTGCACACTTTCGATTTTATTACGGTCACAGTGGCTCATTAAACCAAAGAAGGGACAGCAGTATTCGAGGACTGCAAGAACAAACGTTCGATAAAGACTAAGCCTCATTTTCGGAAGGAAAAATTTATGCGATATGAACCCACAAGTATCTGTGCGGATTCGGCAAAAATTCTATCTGCATGATATGATAAAGTAGGCTTATTTGAAGAACTTAACCCTAGGTCCTTTATGATGATGCCTTCCGAGAGTGGGGTATTCTGAAATATTATGAGGCCGGGAGATTTGCAGGACTAAAAAGACATGAAACTACACTTGGACGATGAAAACTCCATCTGCTTGAGCATAGCAATTAGCATTAATTTTTCAACGCAAGTGTTTGCGCTATCCTTGAAATATGAATGAACAGACTTGGGGTCACCGGCATAAATATAAATTTGCGAGTTTCTGATCTCCGTCAAAATATCATTGACACAGATGAAGAAAGATTAAGTGGCAAGTTTCGTAGGATCTTTCTGGTAAAGACCCATGTTGATTAAAGCTCAAAACTGATTAACTAGACATAAGTCAAGAATTTCAGTTGAAATTGTCCTTTTAAGAAGTTTTGCCAGAGACGGTGTTTTGTGCACGCCCCGACAGTTATTAACATCGTTTCGAGAACAAGACTGGAAGATAGGAATGATAATTGACGTCTTCCACGTGTCCGGAAAAAATCCGCTCGAAATATAAACCGAGATCGTGTGGACCATTCTCTTTTTCTCCTGAAACTTTCCTCTCTCGGAACAGAGGGAAAACTTCTATATTTTGTATCCTCTCACCTGGGTGGTCGCACATAACGTGTTAAGAATTGCAATGCTATCTCTGCCTCCACATGCGGGAGGAGTGGAATCATTCAGGCCAGTGTATTTGGCATACTATTATTTTGCCTTTTTGTCAACCACATGCCACATTTATTTCAGAATGGTAAGCCCTTAAAGTATGCCGATGCTCTGAATGCTGGATATAGGTATAGGCCGACAGATCGTGACATCGTGCTTGAGCTCCTAAAGAGCGACCTCAAAGCCTTCGCCCAGTGGTGCCGCACGTGACGCCTTTTTCTTTTTTGGCATAAATGCTCAGTCATGGTGGTTGGCAATGATCACTAACCCCAAGTTATTATTGACGATTACGACGTAAATGTGCCTGAAGTTATTAAGGACCTGGGTATATCATACCCCAAGAGTCTTAATCTTTCTGAACACTGTGCCCTGATTGTCTCCAAAGCACGCAGAACGACCGGGTGTATCCACTGAAACTTTTAAAACAGCGATATTGGAATACGCCTTCATAAAATACGCGTCAGGCCTGGCTTGAAACACTGTTCGGTTTTATTTAGCCTCATGTGCACTGCTGAGCGGAAGAAGACAGAATCTGTTTGCACATTTTCACCATGAGAGTTTTAACCTTGAAACGCCAATTCCTGACCAACCAGGAACGTTGCGAGCTTAGAGGCCTTGATCCCCTGTAGTTTCGTCGACTGTAAAAAGGTCTTTTTACTGTTTAAACTCTTAAAAATCGTACTTTTAACCCGCTTATTACTTTAAAACCTCTCGGCTACCCCTGAGATAATAGTTACCTCTGGCACGTTCCGTTAGATATAGTCGTTTCTTTTCTGTGAACGCAATTGCGATTTGAGAAATATTATCCATGAAGGCAAAAATTCTGCAAAATAATTCTTTGTTTAAGAGAACCATCATTCTTTTTTTACATTCAAAAGATCTCCCACTTGTATTGGGCGTTGAATACACCAATTCAATCTACCGTAGTGATGGAGTTCGTGGTCACTTATCCCCCCGCCCGATCGCACCAGGGACAATATCTTCAGCCGCCAGCGAGCAACGGTTATTCAATGCATCTGTTTGGTTCAGTACCTGTTTCATGTGAAGGAAATGAGACTGACAATATCCGAAGCAGTGTTACCCATCCCTTTCTGGACTGCCGTCAGTTGACGGGTAGCAGTTTTTTTCTCCTGGACCGTCCAAACTACAAAAATACCATCCTCAGTGTTCAATCATGAAGAGTTTTTTTCACTGCCAACTCGATGCGTGTTTTATTTTTCTTTGACAGTGCCTGCAAACGGGCATTGAATACAATTATCATTAAAAGTAAATGACTAAGCAGCATGGGAAAGTCGGATGCCTGTTTAATAATTGAATCCCGTCCCGAGAAGTTTAAGTTTTTCAAACAACTTATATGTTTCTTAGTAAGATCTGAGGAGATATCGATTGTACTCAGTGTCCTATCTGAAAGCAAACGAGAGCAATAGACTTGTTCGGACACAGTAGTAAGGTAGTTTGCAAAGAAAGCACTAAACAACTGCGTCTTGCCAGTGTATTCGATGAGGAAGACTTCGTTATCGTTAAGCAAGAGTGGAATTTCGTGACCACGCTTAGAGGAGGACCGGTGACGAGAGATTTTAGCGACGGGGTTAGCAGGGTCAGTTGATTGTTGAAATGCAAACGGTGAGCAGGCGAATACAACAAGGCAGTATTCAACTTGCCTGAGGGCAGCTTACCTTGTGATCTCCTACGGGGTTGCAGACGGAGCCTCATCTTAAAGATAAGGAGGCAGTGGTCCGTCCATCTATCGGCCTCGCAGGTCGCTTTGGTCACCATCCTGTACTGCCGATCTTGCCCTCGAACGTAAATGTGAACCAGCAGCTGCCAGCGCCGCAACTGGGGATGCACCCAGGTCGCCTTCTTCCGCACCAGCAAGCGGAAGAGGGTGTTGGTCAGCGGGGGGCGGTGTTCAGCGCGGGTTTGCAGGAGAAGACGGCCATCGTCGTTCCAGCCGGCGATTCCGTGAGGATCAAGCCCTCTTCTCCAGGCAGCGCATTCTGTCCGACGTGAGCACTGAAATCACTAAAGGCAGTCAACTTATTCGCCTTCGGCGTTGACGCTGGGAGGGTGTGCAGGCCCTTCTAGAACCTGATCTTCGCCTCGTTTGAGTCAGCGCTGAGGATGGTGGCGAAGTTGGATCCCCGGAGAGGCAGACGCAAGCTCATCAGTCGGTCATCGATGTCCTGCGGCATTCGTCCTACGATGCCGTTCCGGATGGCAAGAGAGACGCTCGCGTCCCGTCGCTCTGTTTAAGGGCGACCGCTCCAGAGGAAAGCATAGTCAGGGCCCATATCCTCCAGTTGGCCTTCTTCGGAGAACCGCGTCTCACTCAGTGTGGCGATGTCCCCTTTGGAGCTCACCAATTTCTGAGTGACTAACGCCGTCCTCTGATCCAGTTGGTTTCTCCTAGGATCCTCTAAAAGAAAGCAAACACTCCAGGCTGCCAGAATGAGCGGCTGGCGTTTGTTGCTAGTTTGTCATCATTAAGTCTTTGTATACTGGCGTCTAAAAACGGGAGGGTATCTCCTGTTGCTTGTTCGCGGCTGTAATGTATAGTTGGGGAGAGGCTATTTAAGCGCTGGTGCAATCGGTCAACTTCGCCGGTCTTTATGATGACAAATACATCATGCACTTATCGAAGCCACATTTTGGTTCGGCGGTTTGCACAGCATCAACATTGTTCAAAGCAAACGAATCGTTCGGGAATACTATCTGTTTATTGGTTATTTGCCCCAGAATAACTGAAGAGAATTTAAGTATGTTTGTGTTAGAACTGTCGGACAGGAGTTCACTTTGAATCGTCTAGCGCATCCTTTCTGAGACCAGAATGGGGAACCGGATAAGTAGTTAATCATGGAAGACGAATAACTCTTAAAATGTTCTTTCCAAAATGTCGCATTCCCAGTCTGATTGCTAGGGTTAGGATGACTTACAGGCTTCGCTTTGGGAATGATTAATCTTATGTAGAAAGATCATCAGCTGACAGATAGAGGCATGGTAAACTGTCATTTCACAGGTTATCAGTTAACCCTCTCGATGGTTAAAAGTTTAACATTACCTACCGTTATGTCGACTGAGTACGTCAAAACTGCGCTTACACTTAATCATACTTAGGGGTTTAATGTTTTCATATAATGCTTTTCCGGTGGCCAAGTAATTTTCCTGTTTAAACGGAAATGAGAGGCTATTTGTGTCAGGCGGCATGCTGCGTGGCTGTAAATTCCGATCATCGTGGGTTTCCTGATGTGTTTTGCTGATGGTTGCCTGTTGTAATGCCTATCTTGGTGTGGCTTAATATACAGAGAGGGTCCTTGGTACATGTCATAAGTCAGCCCTACCATAAATTCAACGAAGAATAAAACATCCTGGCATTGGAGACTAAGCAAGCGGACTTACA